TATATACATATATATATAATTTTATTTTTCTTTATTAAAAAAATGGTTTGATCAAGCCAAATGAGTGAGAGCGACAAATGACCGATTAGGTTTATGTTTTGCGTCTAGGTCTTTTACAATAGTTTCCTGTTCACCATCAGACGTGTCAAGAAACAACACCCAACAACAGTGTGACAAAGAGGAACCACACTTTTTCTCTTGAGGAAAGAATAATGATCACATTACCCCTTATCATTTCAGCTTATGTTTCTGCAGTTAAACGTGTACAGGTTTTAAAGCATAGTTGTCAATGTTTGACACAAAACATGCTGCTTGGTGGGTGTTTCTTCCTGAGCAAACAGTGATACCCTCTACATACTGGCAGATGTAAAATGTGCTGTTGTTTTATGTTTGCATGTCATCAGTTTGACCCTTAGATATTTCAAAACACCCCATTTTTTTATTTAAGTGGGGAGCAACTGGTTTTGCTCCATCCTGTGTGCTTGTCCCAAGACCAAAAAAGGTTTAGTTTCAAAATGAAAAGAACCAGTATCTTAACTCCTCCTACAATTGTGTTCCTATATTAGCTTTTAGCAGTTCTTTTGTGATTTCTACATTCTTCCTTCATCACCGACCGCTTGACAGTCTCAAAAAGGGGACGTAGTGGTCTTCTGCAGTTTTCAGTTCATAAATTTGTTTGGCCGGAGAGGATATCACACTTTCTATGGGAAAAACATAATGGACTGGATAATTTTTGTGACATTTTTCTGGTCAGGTAAGAAAAATTATGCTTCTTTATTTTTGTTCTGAATCGTTTATAATTTATTTAGGCATAGGTCCTACATTATATTTTACACACTATTTCTGGAGCAACACACTTTGTTGCCAGACACACAGTGGCATTCATTTCTAACAGTGAGCTCAATAGTGACAAGAAAATCTCACAAAACCAAATTATCTTTGTGGTTCTTGTTCACATTGAGGTGGATGTGACCAACAGATCACACACCACTAATGAATTTGTCCATCTCTTGCAACAAACAGTTGTCTGAGCGAGACAAATATCTGCAAAATACATTATTGAGCTTTAAAAATCATTTGAAATCTTTTTTCCACTTTGAAATGTACAAGAATTGCTAATATCTAAGTGAAGCTTCAGAAAGTGAAAGCTTATGGCTGCGTTCATGTTTCGTATTTTGACCATGGAGAGTTTTTTTTAAATATTGACTGAAAGAAAAATCATTAAAAGTATCAAACAACAATAACTGAAAAACTAAATTCACAAGTTGATTTTTGAAGTATATTTATGCTGTGCTATGAAATAAAAAAGTTTGTCTTTTGCGCCACCTTGTGAGAAAAAAATTTATTTTGCAGCTTTTAATTCACCAAAAACTCAAAAGCAGCATCCAGAAAACATGACGACAGTTAGAAATTGATATTACGGATGATATTTTATTAGCAGTAATCAAAGAAATTATTCAAATTCAGCCAACTGTGTGTATTTTTCCTCTTCATTCCTCAGTATTTAAAGCTGCCCTTTGTTTTAACATTGATCCTGTGGCTTGGAAGTCCCTCAGCAATTCTGCTGCAGGTTTTGGCTACCAGGTGGTGCAGAGAAAAGCAGAGTGAGTCCAATCATGTTTTGCCAAATAACTTCTGCTTTTTAAACTCAGCTTGAACTTTTGTTCAGTGTGTGTTTTTGGAAACAAAGTTAGAAACTGTTTGAAAATGTTTCCTAGATAAAGGAATTAAAGTCTGTACTGCCTGCTTTGTCAAAATGTTTGACTGGTTCTGATGTTTTTAATTTTTTTTTCTAAGTTTGCTAATCAGCGCCCCACTTGAACCATATGCAAAGGATCGAAAGGGGAAAATATTCCGGTGCACCACTGAAACATGCACCGATCTGACTCTTCCAGGTAAGAACCATTTATTTACCTACTTAGTAAATGAAATGTTTTTTTCTTTCTTATTTTAGCGTATAAACAGTACGTTAAAGCAAAAAAAAAAAATGTTGCTAAGAGGCCTCAAAATTTAAAGTTGCAATTTTTTTTCAGGGCTTGTAAAATAAAAATGTAAAACAAAAATGGTTCCTAATTTGTTCTTCCTGCCACAACTTCCTTTTTGCTAGAAGGACTGAAACTGTCATGATTAGAAATAAAAGCAGAAATATTTAAATATTTAATATGTCCCCCCAGACACACAAGTCTTAAATCCCCTGTGCTGATTTTAGATTTATCTGTCTCCTGTTTTTACTTTGCCTTATGCATTTCTGCCTCATTATGCAAAAAGGGTGGGTGACCCTTTTTGGGTTAGCTTCTCTTATTACTATTAGTTTAAAGTTTTAGTTTAAAACAAAGGCACAGGTAAGTGTTTTCCTCCTTGCCTTTGTTTTAAACTAAACTTTAAGCTTAACTGAGGCAATCTATCTGCACATGGTCTTCCTGTTTGTTGACTAATAATAGAGAAGTTGACCCGAAATGTGCCGCCCACCTTAGTTGCATATCGAGGCAGAAATGCACAATGTATTTTACTTAATTTGCTCACTTAAACCTTGTAACATATACTTGATCAAATTAAGTAAAATTTGCCTGATTTGTTGACATATCGTTAACTATATTCTTAATAACTTTTACTAGATGATGATGAGTAAATATTACATGAATTTGCATCATTTAAATTTACTTAACAAACATTAGTGCAAATAGTTACGCAGATCTTTCTAGTAAATCTCACAAGTTCTTTATAACAGCGCACATGCGTCAAGCATAATATTGTAGCATGACACCTCACAGCTACAGAGAGAGGTGTAGCTCTTGTTGTAGTTCAAGACTTCACCACCAGTTTGCTTGTATTTATGTCAGGCTGGGATATGCTTGTATTTATGTCAGGCTGGGAATTGGGCGGCCCCTTCTTCTTCGGGTTCATTTGAGGGCCCACTACTCCCCTGACCATGCTGTCCTCTGGTGGGTAGTGTATTTACCCGTCGGCGCGCTGGAGGCTCTCGTTGTCCGGGGCTGGGTGCTTGGGCRTGTGCCGGCTCGGCCCGGTGGCTGCCCGGYGGGGCTGGGTTCCCCCTGGCCCTATCGGGCCTTGGCCTGGGGGAGTGCGGCCTGGGGGCCCAGGCCTCTGTGTCGGTGCCTGGATCCACTCTGGCGCGGTGGGTACCGGCGGGGCCTGTGAGTTCGCCACTGCTGGCCCCGGGGGTTGCTGTATGTGGTCGCTGGTGGGGCTCTTCCGGTTCTCTCCGGTGGTCCTCTTTGGGGAGTGGGTGGGCGCCCCTTCCGGCGCGGGTGTCCCTAGGGCCTGCGTGCTTGGGGTCCCTCTCGGGGTCTTTGGCACTGGTCTCCCTTATGTCGGCCTCCGGCTTTGCGGGTCGCGTCTGTGGTCCCCCCACACTCACTTTGAAACATTCCACGGGACAGATCCATGCATGCTCACAACTGCACACAAACAGGTGTTTACATCCTGGGTTTTCTATTCGGGCACTGACGGAAGGATATGTGCATATGTGTATGTATGTGTGTATGTATGTATATGGGCATGTATATGTATGAGTATGTATGTGTGTATGTATGTATTTGTATGTAAGTATGTATATGAAAGTGTTTGGATATGAAGGTAGGGGTATGTTTGTGTATATATTTATATACGTAAATGGGTATGGTTTTCAGCAAGGCTTAAATCATTTTAATTACATAGTTATGCATTTTTGTTGCTGTGGTTTTGCTATCTTTGTTTTGTAGGTGTGGAGCCGAGAAGTMCGGTGTGCTGTCTTGTGTTTTCTCAACATATATTTTACATATCTTCTAATCTCTTTTTCACTCTTTCTCAATGCATCTCACTTTGTTCTTTTTTCTTCAAAAAAAAAAAAGACTTCACCACCAGGTGGTGGTTTTGAAGAACCTTTATTGGATTCTTCTTCATGAACAACACAGACAAAGTGAAACTCACAGGTCTTATTAAGGACTAGGCCTACCACTCTCACTTATGGTTACTTCTGCTGAACGGTTTGACACAAGTTAACAAATAACGAACACACAAATTAGAGGAACACAACAGACTAATTGCTGAAAGAACAATGTTAACCAATTCCCTAAAATGATTTAACAACAAACATGAATCCTACCCACARTCCTCCACTGCAGTCACATGACAAACAGCCAAACACAGCAGAATGCTACAATATGCATTCCCTGTTCCCTGACAACTAAACATCACCTACATTATGCCATCAAACTAGGGCTGCAACTAACGATTATTTTAATAATCGATTAATCGGTTGATTATTTTTTCAATYAATCGATTAATTGGCCAAATGATTAAAACGCTTAATTACATGAATATGAGTAGATATAAATTAAGTTAACTCCTTAAGGATGCAAGTTATTGATAATGAATTAATCTGAAGTTGATTTATCTTATAGATTGATTAACAATTAATTAATTAGCAGCCATTTAAAAAACAGAGTTTTCTCTTGAATCAAGAGGGTCTTCCCATAAAATGAAGGATTTTTTATAATCTCCTGAATTAAAAAACAGAAGCACATAATACATGTTTTAACAATTTATTTTGCCAGCTGTATTAAATACTGACTGAAAAAATGTGTATTTCTCCTACATGAAAAATAACAGAAATTTAATAGGTTGCTGAATGAGAAAAATAGATTAAAATAATAAAATATCATTTTTAGATTTAAAACTATTATTGATTTATTATAATTAGAATTTATTTACATTTAACATTTATTTTTTTCTCTAATTCTTTACTTTTTGTTTCGTTCTTGTTGGTTCTGTTTGACTAAAACATTGTTCTGACCCAGAAACCGGTTCTGAAGCAGTCTGCAGACCTGCTGCTCGATCGCGTCTTTTTTATATACTTTTTTCCCTTCGTCCTGAACCATTTTGCTGCTCAACAAATAACTTTGGGCCTCAGTCAGAAAAAACTGGAGAGTTTATATTTTTGGCCCGAGAGGAGGACGAAACGGTGGATTTAGGTCTCCATCCTCCCCCGCACGCACTACCTCCTCGCGACGCGGCGCGCATCTAATCGGACGTCTTTTAAAAAGAATAAATTTAGCAAATACTTTTTATCATATCTTAAGATCTACTTGGCCTAACAACACCTTTTAAAAACTGGCTTAAAGTTCGTAGTCTCTGCTTTTCACTCGAGAGTCAGAGAGGGCGGCTCTTTACAGGTAGAGCATTTTCTTTCTTCCTAAACTTTATTTAGGTCAGCCAGCATTGACAATGCTGTGCGGGTGACGTAATCGGCTCTGCGACACGGCGAGAGATGCATAAATCCCGTGACACAACGAATCGATAATGAAATTTGTTGCCAATGCTTTTAATAATCGATTTTTAACGATTTTATCGATTCGTTGTTGCAGCCCTTCATCAAACTATTGCACACCAACAAATGTATTCAAGCAAAAGAAACCAGACAACTTATGTTTTATTTTGACCATGTCTTGTCCTCTCTTTGAAAAGTGAAGCAAGGGAATGAGGAGCAGCAGCCTTTGTGTGCGCCTGCGCCCTCAGTTTTAGCTCAGAAGACTAGAAGTTACTTAATATATTCATGTTTAGGTTCTGTCCAGAAAAAGCACTTAAATGTTACTGGTAAAATAATATTAGCATTTACTTTTTGTACAGTAATATTGATATATAATGTAATGTGTATTGTTTATTTAGTAAATTCTAGTAGTTTAGAGATTTTAATTTTTTTTGTAAAATTTCAAAGAATAATTAAATAAATGTCACTACACCCAAAAGTTTGTTTTTTTTCAGTGTACAAATTAGATGATAAAAAATAAGGTAAAGTTCTTATTTAGATTAAAATGTGCATTTTAAATGTATTTATGGATTTATTTATTGGGCTATTTTTATATTTCTGCTTTTATTTCTAATTGTCAGTTTCAGTCCTCATATTTTCCAACTTTTAAAATACGCCAAAGGGTGACCCCAAAATCTACAGTATTTTACACTCATTCCTGATGTCAAAAAAAATGCAATGAACAAAACTGTGTGATGATATACTGTAGGCTTAGTGTGTTTTCCCAAAACTTGGACAAGTGTTTTAAGAAATGTTTAATTTTTCCTCAGAACAAAACGCTGCAGTCAACATGTCCCTTGGTTTGGCAATGACAGCTGATCCTATAACAGAGTACACTTTGGTGAGAGGTTAATGACAACTATTTTAAAAATGTTGCCTTAAACATGTAATCTGAAAAGAAAATGTTGATCTAGACTCTCAGTCATCCAGGAAATGGTAATCCTAAGAAAAGAAAACAAAAACTATTAAACCATTCTCATGTTCAGAGTAAGTTCCTTGTATGAATTATGAAAAGTGAAGCATCTTTAAAAAAGGCATTGAAAAAGTTCAGTTGTCTTTACTTGAATTTGTTGGAACGTATTACTAAAATTATCCTTTCTTCAGGCATGTGGACCAACCATTCCCAAGGACTGTAAATCTATCACCATGTACAACGGTTTGTGCATTGAAATAGATAAGAATAATAAATTTGGAAAGTCTTACTCATCTTCTACTGAAGGTAAACACTGAAGTTTTAGAGCAGGGTCAACACATTGTTGCACTATTTCTCACATAACATTTAAAAATAAATGTGTAAAAATTTTAGTAAAGCCTTACTTGTATTGTGAAAAAGAAACTGACACTTTGAGGCAATGACAGACAGAACTAATGACGACTGACCAGATGTGGATCTTTATTTTAAACTTTTTTTTCTTTTTAACAGAATGTCAAACCCAAGCTGACATTGCCATTCTGCTAGATGGCTCAGGCAGTGTAAAACCAAATGAATTTCAGAACATGAGGACTTTTGTGAAAAATCTAATCGGCGCATTCCAGGGAAAAGATACAAGGGTAAAAATCCATCCATCTTTAAATCTTAAATTGCATTATAAATGTCAACTTCATGGTTTCAATATTTTTTGTTTTTTTCCTGTAGTTTGCCATCATCCAGTTCTCATCAAGAATTGTAATTCATTATAAGTTTAATACATTTTCCACCACTGGGTGGAAATTTGATATTAATAATATATATCAACTAGGAGGAGGGACAATGACAGCTGCAGCCATCAAAATTGTTGTGTAAGTATCTCTGTAATCAGTATATTGCAATATGACATGCTAATTTGATTATTATATAATATAGTCCCATAAATATATTAAATATTAAACCTCAATAGAAGGTTTAAATGTGGTATTTTAAATATCCTTTTTACCCTGAGAAAGGTTAAAACTGGAGTTAGCACCCACTTTTTACCCTGAAACAAAAGAAAAAAAAAAGAAAAAATAATGAAATAGTGAAAAATTAGTAATAATCAGTCTATGATTTCCATGGTAAATGGGCACAAAATTTAGCAGTATTACGTCATTAGAATTAGTTCACACACTACCAGCAACATCATTTTAGTTAAATTAAAAATATAGTAATTTTTGACAATGTTAATAAAGTCAATTCAACTAAAAATGAGCAAAAGTGTACAATGATTGTGGTAGCTAAAATTTAAAGTTCTATTAGTATCATAAAAATCTATATTTTCTATGAATTGGTACACATTTTATGCTGCATTTCTTAAAAGTGCTGTATATATAGTATAGTAAAATACAAAAACAAATGTATAGTATAAGTAAAAAACAACTTTATTTTGTTTTATTTTTTTACAGGAATGATGTCTTCTCACAGAATGCAGGATCCAGGTCAAATGCGAAGAAGATTTTATTAGTTATTACAGACGGAGAATCTCATGACGGAAATAACTTACCAGAAGTCATACAATCAGCAAATGATAAAAACATTGTTCGATTTTCTATTGGGGTAGGTGACTATATGCATAATGAGCAGTCCAGCAAATAAATACAGAAATAGACCACAGAAGCAATTTGTGTGTGCATTTAGGAAACATATTGTAATTTTGTTTGTATACACTAAACAAAATTAAAATGCTTTATGATAATGAAAAAATGAATATCTGAAAGTCATTAACACGCTCTGAATGAAGACAGTATTAGCAACAACATTAGCAACCATAAGCAACTATTGCTCTTGTTTTTACAAAAGTACTGATGTTTATCACCTTACACAGATTTTATTTATCTCTCTAGGTGGGAAATGCATTTAAAAAGGATAAGGCAAGGCGGGAGCTGGAACTGATTGCATCTGAACCCTCCAAAGACTTTGTGTTTCAAGTTCAGAATTTTGAGGCTCTTGAAAAAATACAAAATAATTTGCAAGAAAAAATATTTTCCATTGAAGGTAACTCACTGTTTTTTGTTTTAGTTAAAAGAGACATGCTTTTAAATCCTTCTTTTTCACACTTTAATCATTCAGTAGGTTTATAGAGAGGTTAGACAATGAAACTGAAACACCTGTCATTTTAGTGTGGGAGGTTTCATGGCTAAATTGGACCAGCCTGGTGGCCGGTCTTCATTATTTGCACATTGCACCAGTAAGGGCAGAGTGTGAAGGTTCAATTAGCAGGTAAGAGCACAGTTTTGCTCAAAATATTGCAATACACACAAAATTATGGGTGACATAAAGAGGACAAATTGTTGGTGCACGTCTTACTGGCGCATCTGTGACCAAGACAGCAAATCTTTGTGATGTATCAAGAGCCACGGTATCCAGGGAAATGTCAGCATACCACCAAGAAGGACGAACCACATCCAACAGGATTAACTGTGGACACAAGAGGAAGCTGTCTGAATGGGGTTTGTACGGGCTAAAACCAGGTGTTTCTGTTTCATTGTCTAACCCCTGTAGATATGTAGTATAAAATGGAACAGCAATGCTTTGGTCTGAACTTCTCCTTATTACAACTCCACGAGCCCGCTTTTCAACCTTTTTTTGAAATGTGAACGACTAATTTTGATACTGTTTTTTTGTTTTTTTTTCCAAACGAGGCGCTTCACATACACACACCCCAGCTTCCAGATCGGCCCATTCTAAATTGATAGAGGGGTTTATGACCATATAAAGGTGCATAAACTTTTTAATTATTTAAAATATGTCGACAAGGGATAACTTGAAAATGAAAGAAAATGAAAACGACTAAGTTGTAGTTGTTGAGGCTTGACCTTATTTCCATCACAAATATAGTGATAAAATAGAGAAAAATGAACAGATTGAAATATATAACCCAAACATAATATAAAGATATCTACGCAGCACTGGGAGAGACTAAGTTCAACTTTTCTACGCTCCTAGAGACTCCAAGTACACAACACAATTAACTTAATAGCTAAAAGAGTCAGAATCAGTTTTATTGCCATTGTCAATGAACTGGATTCACAGACTAGGAATTTGCTTCGGTGTAAAGGTGCAGTAGGTATCAAATATAACAAATGAAGGAAAACAAAACAAAGGATAAAGGAAAAATGTATAAAACATATGTACACCAGTTCAATACAGCAATCAGAGCAGACAATATATTTGGAGTAGTGCAGTTAGATCCAATGATAAAAGTGACCAGAAAAACAATCTAGTCAGAGTTGTGCAGCTTAAGAAACCAGTAATAAAGTGGCCAAGGCAGAGTTATAGAGTCATATGTTCTAAATGTTCAAGAGTCTGACGGCAGAGTGGAAGAAACTGTTCTTATGGCAGGATGTTCTGGTCCGAATGGGCCGAAACCTTCGGCCTGAGGGGAGTGGTATGAACAGGCTGCAGGGTGAGAAGGGTCAGCTGTGAKCCCACCTGCTTGCCTCACAGTCCTGGAGACGTACAGGTCATGGAGAGATGGGAGGCTACAGCCGATCACCTTCTCTACAGAGCGCACAATGTGCTGCAGTCTGTGTCTGTCCCTGGCAGTGGCCCCGGCATACCACACTGTGATGGAGGAGCTGAGGATGGACTCCATGATAGCTGTGTAGAATCGCACCATCAGCYTGGCCGGCAGCTTAGCTTTCTTCAGCTGTCGCAGGAAGTACATCCTCTGCTGGGCCTTCTTGATGAGGGAACTGATGATCGGCTCCCACTTGAGGTCCTGGGCGATGGTGGTGCTGAGGAACCGGTATCAGGCTACAGTGGTGATGGGGGTGTTGTTAAGGGTGAGGGGGGGCAGAGGGGCTGTGGCCTTTCTGTAGTCTACAATCATCTCCACTGTTTTCTGGGCATTGAGCTCCAGGTTGTTGCTGCTGCACCAGGTGCCCAGCCGGTCCACCTCCCTCCTGTAGGCAGACTTATCACCATCCGAGATGATCCCGATGAGGGTGGTGTCGTCCGCAAACTTAATAAGTTTTACGGAGTCATGGCTGGAGGAGCAACAGTTAGTGTACAGGGAGAAGAGCAGAGGGGAAAGAACACAGCCCTGTGGAGATCCTGTGCTTATAGTCTGTGTGTCCGGGACAACTTTCTCCAGCCGCACGAGCTGACTCCGGTCTATCGGGAAATCTGTGGTCCACCTGCAGGTGGAGTCAGGCACGTTAAGCAAAGAGAGCTTGTCCTGGAGCAGAGCAGGAAGGATGGTGTTGAATGCAGAGCTGAAGTCCACAAACAGGATCCTAGCGTAGGTTCCTGGTGAATCCAGATGCTGCAGGATGAAGTGGAGAGCCAGGTTTATGGTGTCATCTACAGACCTGTTGGCTCTGTAGGCAAACTGCTGAAGGTCCAAAAGTGGGTTGCAGATGGACTTGGGGTAGGATAAAATCAGATGTTCAAAGGTTTTCATGACTACAGGCGTGAGAGCCACAGGCCTGTAGTCATTGAGTCCTGCGATGCGTGGCTTCTTGGGAACAGGGACAATGATGGAGGACTTGAAACAGGCTGGGACATGACATGACTCCAGAGAAGAGTTGAAGATACCTGTGAAGACTGGGTCCAGCTCATCAGCACAGTGTCTCAGGATGGAGGGAGACACGCAGGCTGGACCTGCAGCCTTAGGTGGATTCAGTCTCTTGAACAGCATGTTCACGTCCTCCTCCTCCCGGACTGAGAGTAGAGGGGGGATGGGTGTGATCCAAATTGGCTGAACTCAGAGTGGTGTGAGGGGTGGGGGGTTTTGAGTCCATGACTTCAAAGCGTGAGTAGAAGTCATTCAGGTCATTAGCAAGTTTAAGATTGTCTGTAGCGTGAGTTGCTCTGGGCCTGTAGTTGGTGATCTCTTTCAGCCCCCTCCATACAGTGGCAGCATTGTTTTCAGAAAACTGCTGCTCCAGACGTGTGTTGTATCTGGATCTAGCCTTCGACACGTCCCTGCTAAATCCATACTTTGCATGTCTGTAGCTATCTCTGTCTCCCTCTTTGAAGGCAGCCTCCTTCTGCTGACGGAACTGTCCAAGTTTGGATGTGAACCAGGGTTTGTCAATATTGAAAATGACTCTGGTGTGTGACGGGATGATGCTGTCATTGCAGTAATGTATATAAGACGTCACGTTGTTCGTGTACTCATCTAAACTGGCTGTAGAAGTCCTGAACATGTCCCAGTCCGTGGTGTCCAAACACGTGCGCAGCTCCTCCACAGCTTCACTGGTGCACTTTTTAGATGTCCTCACTACAGGTTTCACAAACCTTAGTCTCTCTGCACATGGGAATCAGGTGAACCGTGATGTGAGAGTCCTATGGTTGTGCGGGGCACAGCACAATAAGCACCTCTAGTGTAGCAGTGATCCAACGTGGTCCACTCTCTGGTCGGGCATGCAATAAACTGTCTGTACTTAGGTAGTTCATGACTGAGGTTCCCTTTATTAAAATTTCAGAAAATTATAACTGGAGAGTCTGGGAAAGACCGCTCCACACTCATAATCTGGTCCGCAAGAGTTCGCTCAGCCTCATGTGCCTTCACACTTGGTGGACTGTAAAGAGTGGCCAGAATGAATGAGGAAAACTCACATGGACAGTAGAACGGTTTGCACGACGGAGCACCAGGTGTTTTTGATGTAGAAGCAGACTCCTCCACCTTTTGTTTTCCCCCTGGAGAGTTCTTGCTGTCTGTCCACGCTGAGGAGCTGGAATCCTGCGAGTTGGAGCGCAGTGTCCAGGATTCGTGTGTTCAGCCATGTCTCCGTGAAGCATAGCACACAGGAGGAGAAGAAGTCGCTATTCCTTCTCATTAGCAGCGCTATCTCATCCATTTTGTTGCAAAGTGAGCGAACATTGGAGAGAAAAATTCCAGGGGCGTGCGAGTTCCCCGTTTGCGGAGGCGCACGATTGTGCCAGCTCGCTTTCCTCTTCGGTGGCGTCTCACTCTTTTGGCCATAAAGTGCACAAGTTCAGCAGCAGGCACAAGGAAAACTGGTGTAATATCCAATGGGGTTGTTGTTCTGATGTTTAGATGCTCCTCCCGGGTGTAGGAGCATGAAGACACATTAGTGACACACAAAAACAAACAAAACAGAGTGCACAAAAACACCAGGGCGACTGTTCAGGACACCATCTTGGATCATTAAAAGAGTGGGTTTTTACATTTTATGTCCCCTTTTAATGATTTTTTTGATATCACAAGTCCCACTGAGCAATGGACTGTTAGAAGTTTGATTCATAATGGCATCTGTTTCAGTTGGAACATGTACGTAAAAATATTTTCCCTCTAACTATCTCATGTTTTAAAAGGCTAATCTAAGAAACCTAATGTTAGTATTGCATTAGGTTGACATGTTGAAGAATGGCATTCAATCAGAGTCATATCAGACCATAAACACATTTTAAACCCATTTGAATCATGTTGTAGACGTTTTGGCATGCTCTATAAACTTTGCAACCTGCAGAAGCTCTGGTCTCATGACTTGCTGGTCACTTGGCTGCAAACACTCCGAAATCATTTCAATTGCCAGAGAGACTCTGCTTTTGTTTCTCACAGTTTTGAGTCATCATAGTTAATACTACCTTACTACTTTTATTTTTAAATTTCAGGATCTCAAAGCAGTGGAGAATCACTGAAACTGGAAATGTCTCAAGAAGGGTTCAGAGCAGCTTATACAACTGAGGTAAAAATACAAAACAAACACAATAAAAAATTACCAAATTTTCATTGAAAAAAAACATTTTACATGAAAAGTACACAGTTTGACAAACTTTTTAAATGCATTACAGGGAATTCAGATGGCTATTGTTGGTGCTAACCAGTGGAGAGGAGGCTACAAGAAATACTTAGTTTCTGAGGCAAGAAACACTGGATCATTTGAGCCAACATCTATTGAACCTGACAGCTATGTTGGTAAGAATACTTTATTGAAAAGAAATAAAGTGGTTGTGTGTCAGCAAAAATCTACTGCTATTCTAGAGATGGATCTAGGATTTTTGAGGGGCCACAATTTTCATAGAGAGACTAAGAATTTGTTTAATATCCTTGTAAACAAATCCATGGTTTTGGTAAGGTGTGTACATTTAATCAGTCACACATGTTTAAACGCTTGTAATATAGAATAATGTAATGTAATTAATAAACAGTTTGAACAGTAAAACATCTTTATAAATTTTTCCATGTGTTCTTACCATACATAGATAAAATATTCTCAAACACACAGCATGTGAGAAAATCCAGTCATAGTTTATTTGAAAAACATTTTCTGCAAGATTGCTCAAATTTCTTAAGAAGTGAGGAAAACTTCTGCAAGCTTTATTCATGCTGTACTTTACTATTTTACTATTTAGCACTACTAGTGTTTGGAAATGGAACTGCATCTACCATCTTCGCTCTCGGGCAAACGAAAGATGAGTTACAGGACATGACAAGAGGCCAGTTAGATTTCAGCAGGAGCCAATGCCCCTGTGGCCCTGCCCCTGATCCTAACTGCAGTTACAGAAAATTAGTGCTAAAAAGTCACACGTAGATTATTAATTTTATGTAACAATCTGATTCTCATAGTTAATTTTTTCCCACAATTATTGCAAATGGTTAAATAGGATGAAACAAATACACGTTTTCACTGATGTCTAACTGTTTGATAAATACATTTCAGGTTATTCCATGGCTGTCGCTCAAACTACACTTACCAACACTCTAACAGTTGTTGGTGCTCCGAGGTATAAACACAGAGGAGCTGTTATCACTGTTTTTCAAGAGAGACCTCGCCAACAAATTGACCCATTTCAACAACAGGTGAGATTTAAAAACTATGGTACATCATTAAAAACATGAAAATTAATAAGAAATGTTTTAGCTGTCATTTTACCTTGTCAATTTTTTAATAAATGTTTTTTTTTTCTTTTGCCTTTACAATTTCAGACTGGTGGCTATTTTGGGGCAGAAGTTTGTGCCATGGATGTGAACTCTGACAGCTTCACTGATCTGATCCTCATATCTGCTCCCATGTACAAGGACCAAGACAGAGAGGGACGAGTTTATGTTTGCACCTTAGCTCGGCTGGTAAATGACAGTCACTCTCATTGTCACTTCATAGATTTATATGTATAACTCTGCACATAAGAATTCATCATTGCCTCTCATCCTTACATTTTCACCAGAATGTGGAGTGTAACTTTGATTCTCCATCACAACTAACAGTACTACGAGGAGATCCATCCAACAAAGGGAGGTTTGGGTCTTCTCTTGCTGTTCTGCCTGATCTAAATGCAGATACATTGAATGATTTAGCTGTTGGAGCTCCTTTGGAGAACAACAACCAAGGCTCTATCTACATATTTCATGGTGAAACAGGTGGAAGAATCAAACCCACTTACTCACAGGTGAACAAACTCATTGATGTTTTTTGTTTTTAGGTTCATTTTAAGGACAAAAAACAACTCACAGCAGCCTAACTTTGTATTTTATGTCTTGATTAATCAAGATATTTCCTATTTCACAGAGAATCGCTGCCTCTGAAGTCAAATCAGGATTGAAGTTCTTTGGTTTGTCAATCAGTCAGTGGTCCTACGATCAGAGTGGAGACACACTGCCTGAATTAGCCGTGGGTTCAAAGGGTGCAGTTGTCTTACTCAGGTAAGTTAGAGTCTGGTTACAACTGCTTTTTTTTTTTTTTGTCATAAAGCAAATTACTGATGATGTGATTCTCCCAAATGTGTCATTTTCTAGGTCCAGACCAGTAGTGATGGTGGATACCACTGTGTCCTTCAACCCAAAAGAAATCCCAACTCTAAATGTAGACTGTGCAAAACCACTAAAAGGCACAGCTACAATCTGCTTCACCATGAGAAGACTGTCTGGAAGAGATTCAGGTTCCTTCATTTTACACTCATAAGTTTGAGCCTTTTTATGAACATGTAATTTTAAACAAACACGTCTGTTTCAGTTCAAGCAAAGATTAATTACACTTTAACTCTGGATGCAACTCGTGAGACTCCAAACAACCGAGCTTACATCAGTAAGGATACAAGAGACAAAACTGGATCTGTTGCTGTTGTTTTAAACGTAACAGAGTGCAACAATGTAAAGTTCTTTATCAAGGTGAAGAATAGAGCTCCAACATGACAAAAATACACTGGTTTTATTAACTGTGCTGCCCTCTCATACCCTAATATTGATATTATCTTCCTCTACAGTCTTGTCCTGAAGATGCTCTCAATCCACTACAGAACGAGCTCAGTTTCACCTTCGATGGTTCTCCTTCCAACACAAGTCTTAGACCAAGTCTCTCCCAGGAGGCTCAAACAACAACCCGTCATCGTGTAATTTTTAAACCCACTTTATTTTATGATCAGCATGTTCTTTACATTTTACAACTATTTATTTCTTTTTGATGAGCCCTGCAATTCAATATGTCCCAGAGTCACCATAAATCAGAACAATTTAATTATTTCCTTCAATGTAATTGTGTCTAACATGAAACTTTCTGCCACAGATTGGGTTTGAGATCAGCTGTGGTGCTGACATGGTGTGTACAGATAACCTGAAAGTGGATTTCAATTTCACAAGGTGAGGAATGAAATGAAAATTACACTTTTCACTTGTGTGTTATGAACATTTATTTTTGTGAGGACAAATAGTTTGCATAGAAACTAGTTGGTGAGAAGTGCTAGCTTGATCAGAACAGATTTAAAAATGTCAACCCTTTCAAGACATTGGTTTGCACTTGTAAAAAGACTCACAAACTTTGTAGTGCACACAAAGCTGATTTAATGATGTTCAGCACGGATTGTGTCTGTCATATGAGCAAAGTAGCAACTGCTATACAACTAGCCTGTTGCCTTCATGAAAATGCAGAATATATGATAATTATTATCCTTATAATGGGAGGAGGCAGATATAATCATTTTGCACCGCAGTGTAATTCATCAGACCTGAAACTAACAGCCGCCGCTGTTTTAGTGTCTAAATTCAGCACATTTCAAAAGTAGTCCGGCCCTCCACTCTGCTGCAGATTGTAAAGATAAACATTAAAAATGGACCTCTGAATAGAAAACAGTACAGAGATAATTAAAACCTAAACAAAAATATTAAGTTGATTTAAAAAAGATAAATTTCTTATTGTGTAAATAGTCCTAATAAAATGTATTCAATTCAACATAGTAATGTAATATAGTGAGTATATTAATCTGTAAATATTTATCTTTCTTAGGAATACCTACCGTAGTTCATGTCCCAGATAGTACAGAACTCAAAATAATCAAATCCTCAAATGACTTTGAATGTTAAACACATTATTTTTATTAATTCACTTTTGTGCTTTCTATTGTCAAGGGTTCTTCTTCAAATAAACATTATATATATATATATAT